ATAATTAAGAAATGCAGATTAATAATTACTCTTATATGATAGTCAAACTTATAGTCATGTTAAGTTTTCATATATATATATATATATATATATATATACATACATACATATAATTCATTTAGGTAGATAATCTTCAAACATTTCAAAGACCTACAGAATATGGCATTTAAAATGTTTTAAAAAACTTATACTTTCCTGGACAATGAGATACATCTGCTCCTGGGAGCACTGATTTACTTCAGAAAGACGGGCATTGAAGACACTCCATATGGAATTTATCTTCTTCTTGGCTGAAATAGCCATTTGGGAAGAAATTATTCTTGCCTGGACTGCTTGACAAAATGTTATATTGACTGGACATGCAGAATCCACAGAAAGGTGACCACTGAATTTTGCAAGGTGAGATGGTCCTTCATGTTCCTGCTTCATAGAAGAAATTGCCAGACATTCTACAGGACACAGAGAGAAGCAACTGAGAGACTCTAGGCCTATAAGCTAAAGATGGATGCCCCAATGTTGCAGAAGAACTTTGGGTAACTGTCCAGGCAGCCAGCTGTCTCTGTAATTCTAGATTTTTGGAAGTTGCTTACAATGCTCTTCCTGTTTACTTAGGTAATATTATACCATTCTGAGGTCTTTGATATAGTTAAAGACTAGATAGGTATAATTTTCCCTGGTTATGATAAAAGAAAAATTAGATATGAAACTTTAAACTCACAAATATTGAACAGATAGAATATATAAGATGTGGCAAAGCTATACATTGGACTAGTGAATGCAGATCAACAAGGGACAGTCCAGGTAACCCTTTGCTGTCAGGAAACACATTGAGGGGCCTCTCACAGGCCCCCATGTCAAATTCAGTTCAATCGTTTCCTATCATCTTGGAGGAAACTCCTTCCTAGAACAATGAAAGAACCTAATGCCAATGGCAAAAAGACATACTTCCCTGGACGATAGAACAGCTTTAGAAAACAAAACAAAATTTCAGGTGAAACCATTGTAGATGTAACCAATCGTATTATTAAAATAAGAAACACAGAGCCAAGGTAAAAGAGAAAAGCCGAGAGGTCAGAGCTCAGAGATAAAATCTTACCTCCTGCAGTGCTCCTAGCTTCCCCGAGAGAGGGAGGTACTTCCTGTGTCCCTGTTTAAATATTCTTTCTGTTCTGCCTTCTCATTGGTTGTAAACCCAACCACATGACTGCCTCATCACTGCCTGTAAGTACCGCCCTCCAGGTCTTAAAGGCGTATGTCTCCAATACTGGCTGTATCCCTGAACACACAGAAATCTACCTAGCTCTTCTAACCACCACGCTCTTACTATGGCTCTAATAGCTCTGACCCCAGGGCAACTTTATTTATTAACATAAAATTAAAATAACATTTCAGTACAAATAAAATATCACCACAAACCATAAATCAAAATTGATAAAGGTTCAATCTGAACAAGAGAGACCTCTTAATTAGAAGAGGTGTTAGTACATGAACCAGCATGACTATTCAATTTAAATTAACTTATATGACTAGTAAATGCTTTTCATTTGATCAAATATAATTTGCCATAAGGAAACCTCCCCAAAGTAAAAGGTTGGGTCAGGGTTTTGTTTTGTCTTTTCAGGAGAATGAAGACATCCAGCTAAGGAATCTGAAGACCACTGGACAAATGAGACATGTGAAGAAAAGAATAAATTATCCAGAAAAATAAAGTTCCAAGAAAAAGAATAAATTGGCTTATATTTTGACCTATATTTTGATATATATTTGACATTTCACATTTTCAACAGCATAAAATTTCATAAACATTCCTAAATGTTTGCTTCTGCTTTTCTCTACAGACATATAAGGCAAATGGTCTTTTTGTAGTCCCAGTTCATTTGAAAATTAAAGCTGGCTGAGGAGCTGAGTGTGGTTCTCTCCTTCTCTAAATCAAAGCTTACTTGGTAAAGTAAAATCCAAAATCTGTCTCCTGTCAGAAGAACCACCTGATATGGGACAGAAGGAAACAAAAATTAAATTGTAACATGAACCTTAGAAGGTCTTATTAAAAAAAAAAACAGAGCCAAATATTGGGGTGAAAGCTGATAAATCAAAGAAGCAGAACAAGCCACAGCTAAACTCACCTTGCCAACTCATCAGCCAATCCTGTTTCCATGAATCTCAGACAGAAAGGCTCTGAATCCTCACAAGGGTCTCAGCTGAACTGCTGCTTAGTTCCTGTCTCCTCACGCCTTATATACTGTTCTCCACCCAGCCAAATCACTTCCTGGCATTAAAGTCATGTGTGCTTCCCAACCAAAGGCATGAGATCTCACATGCTGGGGATAAAGGCATGTGCCACCACTGCCTAACTCTGTTCCCAGTGTGGCCTTGAACTCACAGAGATCCAGATGGATTTCTGCCTCCCAAGTGATAGGATTAAGGTGTGTACCACCACTGTCTGGCCTCTATGTCTACTCCAGTGGTTGACTCTTTCTCCTGATTCCCAGATAAGTCTATTAGGGTACACATATATCACCACATTTCCTGTTTTTTTGTCTAAAATAATAAAAGAAGGTTATAATTAATATAAGAAAAACTATATAAAATAAGTACCGTAAGTGTATACAACATGTACACGCAATAAATACATTAACAATGTTCAGTCCATTTGTACTTGACAAATTCAGAGAAACCACTCCATTATCTATCCTATCTTTGTGAATCCAAAAGATTGTATCTAATTCATGTTCTATCCTAACTTGTATTACCAACCAAAAAATATATTTTGATGTCTTTCAAACTTATACACTTTACACCTCCTTTAGTGAGTTTCTTTTCTGAATTTGGTTTTTTTTTTGTTTTGTTTTTTTTGTTTTTTGTTTTTTGTTTTGTTTTTCGAGACAGGGTTTCTCTGTGTAGCTTTGCGCCTTTCCTGGGACTCACTTGGTAGTCCAGGCTGGCCTCGAACTCACAGAGATCCACCTGGCTCTGCCTCCCGAGTGCTGGGATTAAAGGCGTGCGCCACCACCACCCGGCTCTTTTCTGAATTTGTTATAGAGGAAAACTGTAACTATCTAATCTTCAATTCCCTCAGATACCCAAGAAGGAAATAATATTAACTGAGTAAGCAGGAAGTACAAACAAGTGACTTCCAAAAAATATGAGACATGACAGAAACAGCTGACTGCCTGGACAGTCACTCAAGATTTCTCTGCAACGTTGGGACATGGAGTTTACTTTCTTTGTGGCAAAAAGTTAGCCACTGGACAAGAAAGTGCCCTGCCTTGAGTGCTGACTGTATGCTGTCCAAAATGGACAAGAAAGATACAAAAGAAAGGACTTTCAAACCTTGCCAAGACAAAGTAGGACAGCCCTTTGGAAAATCCTGCTTAATAGATGAGTCTGTCAGATTTGATAAGCCTGTAGGCTGAAGATGGATATCCCAACAAATTGGTATCAATATATATAATTTGTATGCAATATACAAAAATCCAATCCAAAGTAAAATATTTAAAACTAATAATTGCTTTTTAAAAGTAGATTCAATAACAAATAACATAAAACAGTTGTGAATTTACTAAGTGAAATTTCACGATTGTGATTTTATTTAAGTAATAGAAAATATTTAGGAGGTAAAATGGATAACCAAGAATTTTTTATTTAAACTATAGTTTTTATTTATCTGTTTAGGAAAACAATTTGAAAATATCCAAGTATAATAAGTTATAGTCTAATCCTAAACCATTTAAAATTTATATTGCCTTAAGCAGCATAAAAGTCTTAATACTAACATATCATCAGCATCAGAAATGTTCAATATTTTAAATAAACCATGCAAGCAATTTTCACATGGAATCTTAGTAATACATTGCCGGGGACCAGCCTCAGCAGTTATAGGGGTCTGAAGGATGGGATACCTGGAAGACACAGTAATGACTCAGAGACAGTGTTTGTGCAAGCTGACAGGTCACTTCGGGCTTCTGCAGTTGCTGAGTAGCTTCTTTAGCTTCCTTTAGCTTCTGCTTTTACCCTGGTAACCTCAGTCTTTTATTATCATAAGGAAGGGAAAACAGAAATAAAAGGGGAAATCACCCAGTGCAATGTTCTCATGATTCCAAAAGTTATTCTTAGAAGATCAACAATACATTCTTCATCATCTTTAATTAAACACAGGAACTATCCCGGAGTTAACACCAAAGCAAGCATAATCTATTTTTATTATTAATGATCAGCCTTCTTCTGAGCACTTGACCCAGAGACTAGCAACATGCAATTTCACAAAAAAGGTAAAAATAAGAACAGTGTTCAATGTACCAGACAGTCATTTTCTTTTTACACAGCCTGCTCCAACTTCAAGACCCCTGCAGCCGCCTAAATTCCTCCTCAGCCCTCTGCAAACACCAAGCCTCGGGACAGGTGGGCCACAATGACCTCAGACAAGAAATCTGCCCCTGCAAGTCAGCAATTTCTGTCTTTCTTATTCCAACAATTCCAAGGAATACCTGGTCCAATTTTCAGAGCTTCCATGAAAGGAAGCTCATCTTTCCTGGCAGCTCTTTTCAATCTAGGAACCCAATAAAACTTGCAGCAATCACTCCAACCATTGCCTCATTGTCTCCACACTCCTTAAGGAGCAATCAAAATATCTGGATTAAAGTTGCCATCTCCCTTTCTTGGTGGAGGCCACTACTTTCCTCCTATTCTAGGTCCCCACACTTAGTTTGCCATCCCATCTATATTCTACTCCATCCATAGTCTTCAGCCAATACCCCTTAGGGTCTCAAGTTTTACACAATGCCCTAGGAATATCCTCAGAAACTGAATTATTCATCATAGCCAATTTGAATCCAGTGTGTTGATACACATCATACCATGTGCTATAGTTGACCCCACATTCAATACAGTTTATCAAAGCCTGAAAAGCTTCCCCAGGCTGCAGGTTCTTTCCCATGAACTGCATAAATGCCTTAACCCCAGCCTGGGTGATCGTCTCTGTATAATTTCCCATGAAATTTACTTCACTTCTTTTCTGTATCACAGAAATCACCATTGATCTAGGAACACAGAACATGAAGATCAGATTGAAGAAAAAGACTAGTATTATAAGAAGTATTTATATGAAGGAGGACATGACATGTGCATGCCATAAATCATGACCTTGGGACATGTAGGCATTGCTGCCATGGCCCTCTGGAGCATGCTAAGCAGAAGATCTGGAGGGGAACGCATGGAGGGTTGATGGTTCACAATCTTGTGTTCCCTTTTCTCCAATCTCTGCTAGCAGCATGTCAGGCATCTTAAATGCTGTCCTTGGCAATAGATGAATAAATGATAAACAAACATATCTGAACCTTACATACAGTGGTAAGAATAATATAAATATGTGAAATTTATTCATTATTGATGAATTTAAGGAGTTTGAAAACAGGTAGATTTATTTATTTCATTGTGTAGGCATGTTTCTGTGTAGGAAAGATACAGTATTTTCTTAAACAATGAGGTATGTATGATACAAGCATGATCAAGTTCAAGTAGGCAAATATATCAAATACATTTGCATTAGTCCAAAATCCAACTCAATGATTAAAATGCATCCTGGTATTTTTGGCATCTTCCATGTTTTATCAGTTTATAAGGAAATGAGTGGAAATATTTAATATCAAAACAAGTAACATGAGAGATGTTCCTCATCTCAATTTTATGATGCTCAGATGCTTAAAATTTGTTATCATGTAAGGTAATCACTTTATGGAGCATGAAGTCATTATATATATATATATATCATAAGTAAATCTATTACAGATGTTGTATATATTGAATATTCCTTACCCATGCATAGTATGACCAAACCTGCCTGTGTTGCAACAAGGCTTTAGGTTTCTACCAGAATCTAGCCTTCTTGCAAGGACCAAGCCTACTTGCAAGGATCAGGTCTACATGCAAGCATCTGCAGGTTCCTTCTGCACTGCCTTCAACACCTTTACTCTATACTCAGACTTTACCCATCATCCTCCAGTATCAAGCCTGATCTCATCTACATGACCTCCAGCAACCTACATTACAAAAGACACCAGAGAAATTCAGAATTTATAAGGTAATATTTTAAAAATCTATAGAATTCTGCCATCTTTCAAAAAAAGGTCTTTGTCCAGTCTCTCTCAAAGCAAAGAATAGAGACATTGCAGATTTCTATAGATTTTAAAAATATTCCCATATAATATTATAAATTTCTCTGGTGTCTTTTGTAATGTAGGTTGCTGTAGGCCATGTAAACAACACCCCAGTAATCAGATTGGTGAATACCCTGTCATCAAAAAACCTTTATCCAGTAACTGATGGAAGTAGATACAGAGATCCACAGCCAAGCACTGTGGTGCTGAGCTCCAGGAGTCCAATCAAAGAGAGGTAAGAGGGATTCTATGAACAAGGGGCATCAAGATCATGATGGGGAAACCTACAGAGGCAACTGAACCAAGCTAGTGGAAACTCATGAACTTGAGATCAACAGCTGTGGAGCCTGCATGGGACTAGACTAGACCCTCTGCATACAGAAGATAGTTGTGTAGCTTGGTCTGTTTGAGGGGCCCGTGGCAGTGGGATCAAGATCTATCCCTGGTGCATGAGCTGACTTTTTGGAGCCCATAACTTATGTTGGGAAACCTTGTACAGTCTTGATGCAGTGGGGAGGGGCTTGGACCTGACTCAACTGAATGTATCAGGCTTTGCTGACTCTCCATGGAAGGCCTTAACTTTTCAGAGGAGAGAAAGGGGGTGGTTTGGAGGGAAAGACTTGGAGGAAGCTGGAGGAGGGATGAGAGGGGTGTCTGTAGATGGTATGTAAAATGAATAAAAAAAATTCTTAATAAAGAAAAAAATAGAAACAGAAGTAGCACTCCCAAACTCCTTATCTGAAACCAGTATCGCTCCAATACCCAAACTATATTATGATACAATGAAAAAAAATCATGAGCTAGTATCCCTGAGGAACATAGACTAAGAAATATTCTATAAAATACTTGCAAGTAGAATATATACATACATTAAAAAAAGATTATCCACTGTGAAAACATTGGCTTTTTCCCTGAAATATATGATTCAACATATGCAAATCAATTAATTTGAAAAGCCATGTAAATGGAATTCAAAACAAAGAAACACATGATCATTTCATTATATGCATTAAAAAATCTTTGATAAAATCCAATATACCTTCATGTACTAGGGAATATGGTGCTAGAGGCAGCATTCACCAATACAATAAAGCTATATATATAAAACCTAGAGCCAACATCATTCTAAATGTAGAAAAGCTTAAAGGAATATGACTGAAGTCAGGAATGAGACAGGGATGTCCACTCTCCTTTTCCATATAGTTCCTGAAATACTATCTGAAGCAATAAGGAAAGAAATTGAATTTAAAGGGATACAAATAAAGAAGTCACACTATTCCTTTTGGTAGATAATATGATACTATACATTAGAGATACCAAAAAAACTACCAGAATACATATAGAAATGATAAACAAATTCAACAACAGGACAGAATACAGAATCAATTCCCACAAATAAATAGATGATCTGAACACCACCAACAAACACAGAGAAGATTATGGACACATTCCCACTCAAAATAGACCAAAATAAAATATCTAGGAATAAACATAACCAAGAAAGTGAAGAACCTCTGTAATGAAAATTTTAAATTTCTGAAAACAGGGTTAAACACTAGAAAGTGAAAAGGCATCCCATGCTCATGGATTATTATAATTAACATTGTGAAAATGACATTCTACCAAAATCTATTTGAATCCAATCCTGTTGCAAATCTCCATCTCATTATTCACCAAAAGAAAAAAAGAAAAAAAGAAACAAAATAGCTTATACTTAAATTTATATGGAACTACAAAACTAAAATAGTAAAATACATATAACACAAAAATCCCCCCAAAAGGAACAATGGTTAAAATGATTATAATTCTAGACCTTATGATATATTACAGAGCCACAATAATAAGAATATGGTACTGACACAAAAACAAACATGTAGTATAATAGAATAAAAAGCACCCTCCCCTCCAAAAAGTAAGTATGTGTAATTTCATCTACTTAACATTTGACAAGAATACCAAAAACCTTTAGTTAAGGAACATCTTGAAAAAGTGTTGCTAGGATAACTGGATGTTCACAAGCAGAAGAATAAAATTAGACCTGTATCTAACACTATGAAAAAACCTAACTCCAAACAAATCAAAGACCCAAAGCTAAAACCTGAAACTTCTAGAAGGAAACAGGCAGTACAATACATGATATATGTATAAGAAAGGGATGCATAAATAAAGTTCTATTTGTTCAAGAATTAGTGTGAACAATGGGACCATTTATTTATTTATTTATTTATTTACATATTATATGTATATACAGATGTAATTACATGTAAGATGTAATTACATGATTCTGCTCTAAAGAAAAAATGAAATTTGCAGGTAAATAGATGGAAATAGAAAATATTTTATTGAGTGAGGTAACCCAGACTCAGATACAAATTCATGTATTCTCTCTTATTGGAGGCTGCTGGCTCCAAATCTTCAGATTTGAGTACATATTGTTTGCTGGCTGTAGAAACCACAAAGTATAACGTGATCATTGCCAAGACAGGAGATTTGAGCAGTAATACGAGAGGGGAATAACAGGTACAAGTGATCGATCAGGGAAATCCAAGGCAGGACTTTTTAGGCAGTGACAGGGAGACAAAGAGAAGAAAGTGGGAGCAGAATGAGGGGAATGCCAGTGTTCTGATAGGAGAAGTGAGAAGAGAGAGGTTCTCTAGTTTTGTGGGAGAAAGATATATACAGAGAAAGGAAGGAGACAATAAGAATATCTGAAAAGCTCTAATGAATTGTACCATTAATCATTTATCTAAGAAAGAATGACTGTAAATGCAAGTAATTCTGTGTACAAATACACATGCAAAATTTTAATGAGCTTTTCAGATCTGGCCTGATAATGCTCCCTCCAAAAGACAAAGACCACTTAACAATAACCTCAGTAACGGATGTGAGAAGCTCTCTTTTGAGTTGTTTGCCAGGGTTGTCCAAAATAATCCCCAAATATACAGGTTATTGCTCTTTCACTTGGCCACTTCCAAATGTGCAAGGTAAGTCCCTATTGCCGAAGACACTGTGTACTTCAGAAACAGGGCTCAAAGTCCTCTGAGCTACAACTGGTCAGAATGTCTCTGTTTTGGGTGCTATCTCACATCATACCCAAGGGCACCATGTCATCTTCTAGGGGAGGTAGGCAACAAACAGTCATATTGTGCTGTGATGCCTATAAACCACATTAATGACCAGCATGCTCAGATAACCACTGTGCAGCAGTCATATACATCTTGGCAGTAACCAACATCTCGCTAATTGCATTAAGACCCATTCAGCAAGAGGGAAACCATGCCTGGTACTGGAAACCTAACAAAATGTTATAGATATTGAAGGATGATCTACAAGCACTACTTTACTAAACCAGAGTAACGCCTGATGTAATTTTTTTTATGTTCTGTGATAAATGTACTCCTCATCCCTCATCGAAGAAACTACTCTTTATAACAAAACCCACTACAGACAAGCACAACCGATCAAAATGAAGAGTTGTGGAGTCCAGTTCCAATGGCTACACCTACAAAAACACTTCTGCACTTAAGGCCCTAGGAACGTTGTGGGATAGGTGGGAGAAAGAGTTTGCTATGATATTAACTGCTCCATCCATAATACCTCACAAACATGGCCGCCCTTAGGTAAGGATAGTTTCTGCAACACTATATTATGGAACAGGGCATTCACAGTGAAAACAAAAGAGCTAGCATGATAAACACATGGGGTAATTTGAATTGTGTACTGCAGTAAGTAATAAATAGCCAAAAAAAAAAAAAAAACAGAAGACATGAAGACTGGGAAACTATCTTATCTGTTAAAATCTACTTCATCATTTATAGTTGAGGTGGCAATGTCAGTTTTTGAAATGCATGTGTATACATGTCATAAAACATTATTTTGTGAACTAACATCACTTTATAAAGAAAGTGAGAAATAAACCACCAGATGTCACTATATGAAGAGGTTTCCACATACTCAGGATGATTGACTAGATTTTAATCATTATTTCATGGGGAGAGAAGTGATCCTTTTTCTTTCCATTTAAAAAATCCTTTATTTAATATTTTTAATATTATTGCATATTTATTAACACAGATTTCACTATGCTTATTCACTCCATATGAGTTAATAATTTTAAGTACAGGCTGTTTAAAATTTCTTTCAAAATGTAATTTTTTATTTTATTAATGCTATCAACTATATTCAATTTTAAATGAAAGCAATATAGATTAAATATAGACAATAACAGAAATATATCCATTCATTAATTATTCTATGAATCACCTAAAGTACCAATATTAAATATTACTATAAAAATTTCCCAGTTCTACCCCCAACAAAGGTAACTAACGGTTGGACTGAAACCATTATTCTCTGTGTTTATCATTAAAATCATGAAAATGTTCTTGAGTTTTACAGAAATATCCTACTATCCTAGCAGTCATTAATTTGTAAGGGGACATTCACAGGTGTTTCTTATTCTTTTATTCTTGCTACAGTATACATGCATAAATTTAATTATATTCCATACATGGATAGTATTGTTAGTATTCATTCTCAGTTAACCTGTTATATACACCCTGACCACAACTATTGTCTTCCTTTCTCAACTTAAATTTCTCCCTTCACTATTTTCATTATTGAGAGTATTCCTATGATATAAATGCAAATCTGAATCAAATAACATGATATATCTGTTCTTTCATGTCAATAAACCCTATATCCACCTATATATATTTTCTGTATAGGAGTAGATAAAATTATATTTAGTGGTCACAAGCCTAATATATGTTACCTTAGATGTATCGGAGATCTTAGATGTATCCTTATTGTTCATAAGTGTTATATAGTGTCTCATTACAGAAAATTTTATTCACAGTGAGGAAAATTACAATGCAAGGTATTAATTTCATAATCAGCATTAACTTGGTCTTACCATAATGAAAGGTCTATTGTAAAGAATAAACTAGATAAATGGATGACACACTTCAATTTGCATGTGTCATGTTCATATGAAATACCTGGAGCCTCAATGCCAAATGTGCCCTACCAAGACCTGACTTCATATGGAATCAAGGAAGCTCTAATCCCTGAAACTATGAGTTAAAAAATTCTCAAGTTGTAATAATGAGTAAAAGGCTTTATAACAATATGCTAGGTAATATTTATTTCTCTTTGAGAAATAATAGAAGCTTCAGTAACAAAGACATTTATCAAAATATAAGTTGAAGCCACTCAAAACTTGTAAAATAACAAGCCAATCATGGGGGTGGTATCACAGCTTCATAAAGATTATCTTCCTGGGAAATTTTCAGTCATTATTTACAAAGTACGAAATTTTTGTTAGTGTGAATCATAACTTCCTACAAGTTTCAACCAAAGTGTAATTAAGTATGAATTCTGGCTGTATCCAGGTTTTACATGTAAACTTGATCTTGTATAAACTTTATACTTATCCAAATGCTATTAGGTTTTACTTTTAAGAAAAGTCAATAAAATTTTACTAAAAATAAACAATAATAAAACACACCTTATTTACCTCTACCTCAGAGAAGTCACAGAAATGAAATGTATAATAAATAAAATTATTTGTTGAACATCACATACCTAGAAAATAAAAACCACTGTCACATTTAAGAACCACACAGAAATATGCATAAACAACTTATGATACAGTCATTTTTAAAGGAATTGATGATGAAGGAGTTAGTTATTCTGGCTTACCAGTGTTTCTCTCATTCTGTTTCTGTAAACTCAACTTATGGAGATGATAAGATGACAGAAAAGGTGTCTCATGGCTTGTTTCATTTCTCTGTTCCTCAAACTGTATATAAAAGGGTTCAGTATTTGAGGAACCACAATATACATCATAGAAAAGACTACATTCTTAACAGAAGAGTCAGAAACAGCAGAACTCATATACACTGCAAAAGCTGTCCCATAGAATAAGCACACTACTGAGAGATGAGAGCCACAGGTGGAAAAGGCTTTATTCCGTCCCTGGACTGATGAAATCTTAAGAATGGAAGACACAATTTGAATATAAGAGAAAATAATTCCAGCAAGAGGAACGCCAGCGAATACACTAGTAACTGTATATATGAGGAGGGTATTGATGAAAGTATCAGAGCAGGCAAGTTTGATGACTTGAACAAGTTCACAGAAGAAATGGAAGATATTATGGTCTGTGCAGAAGGTTAGATTTAGCAACATCAGACTATGCAGTAGTGCATTCATGGTACTTATCAACAGTGAGAGAAGAACCAGCAACACACAGAGCACAGGGTTCATGATAACTGTGTACCTCAGGGGATGGCATATGGCCAAGTAGCGGTCATAGGCCATCACAGCAAGGACACAACTTTCTAAGCCACCAAAAATCAAGACAAAACACACCTGGGACAGGCAGCCCGTGTAGCTGATACTTTGATCCTGTGCTTGAATGTTCACTAGCATCTTTGGGATTATCGTTGTGCTTATACAGATGTCAGTAAAGGACAGATTGGCAATGAAGAAGTACATGGGAGTATGGAGGTGGTAGTCGGAGCTTACAGCCAGTATAATGAGAATGTTTCCAAAGACAGTAACAAGATACATAGACAGGAACAAGGTGAAAATAAATGACTCAACATCTTGAGCATATGTCAGTCCAATGAGAAAGAATTCAGAAATACCTGATTGGTTTGAAACTTCCATATTGATGCTGAATATTACACAAAAGAAGAGGTGAAAATGATCTGAATCTTGTTGGGCAGTGATACTTTTTCATTAGCATGTTGTGGGTATGATAATGACTGAAACATTTTGCATGTAGTCTTCATAAATTCTTTGGGATGACCTATTCAATATATCTTCCATAAGTAATGTCACTGAATTTGATGTATTTGAAACTTGTGAACTAGTGATTTAATATTTTTAAGCTATATTATTTAATGAATAAAAAATTCTTAATAAAAAATAAATAAGAGAATTAAAAAATAAAGTGTAAACCGGATTAGTAGTTCAGTTTTTAATACACTTATACTCTATTCCTCTTGTCCATTGTTCCTAAACCTCAGTTCTCTTCAACAAATACTGAAACATTTGTAAATAGAGTGGCAAATGATATTATTACAAATAATAAGGCATGCCATTTCCTTGAGAAGTCATCCATACCTAGAAAAAAGATACCAGAAAGAGCAAAGTAAACCTAAAGTACCTCTAAAACAATGGGAACCAATGTTGGTATGCCTCAGAATTTTCTGAACTACTCATCAAATTACAGAAGAATAAGTTTCTACTATCAGTTCTGTTGACACATGTTGATTTCATAAACATTAATTATGCAGAAAGAAAAGATAAGAAGACTATACCCCTGCATTCTGTTTTAAATCTATAACCAGTCTTGACTCCTGCCTCTAGATATGACTCAATTAATATTCTGATTTCTGTGGCTATGATAAAATACCATGGCCAAAGCAATTTATAGAAGAAAACATGTGCTTTGAGCTTAAGGTTTCAGAGTAGCAAGCATCCATCATAGTAAGGGATAGAGAGGAAGCATGACAGTAAACATCAGGCAAGATGGCAGCAACATTGAGCTGATAGATCAAATTTTTCAATCACAAGCATGAGGCATAAAGAACTAACTGGAAATAGAAAGAGGCTCTTTCTCCTGATATGACCTAAAGTCACACGTGTGTGTGTGTGTGTGTGTGTGTGTGTATGAATGTGTGCACCATAATTGTAAGAATAATTGAGTCAAGAAAAGGAAGAGCATTTCTAACTCAATGTATATCTTACATAAGAACATATCTTATGACTCCACTTATGAGATTCTTCTCTATATTGAAAAGTAAGAATTCATTAATTACTCTGATATTTCATTAGTCTGGATATATGATGACATCTATAAACATAAAAGTAATATTAATACTATACTAAACAAAGTTTAAATATAGATTGTGAATTCTTAAACTAGGAAGTGCATTCTATGAAAAATGTACATCATGAATATGTTTCAAGAATTTTTGAA